GGCCAACGCAAGCTGCCGCTGCCTTGTAGACGGCTGCATCTCCGTCACCAGGATTCGCCAGCCCTCATAGCCGTTGTTGTGGGTCACCGCTCTGATCAGCTTAGCCGGCCTGTGTCGCACAAAGCTCTGAAGAATNNGCTGCGTCGATGGTGCCCATGTCGATGGGCCTGTTCGGTTGGCGCTCCACCTCGTCCAGGTCGACGATGAAGCCAGGGTCTATCACGCCCAGGTAGTTCCGCATGCCAAACTTCCACTCCGTCCACCCGTCGACTTCAGCATCGCGGGTCTCCGGCCGGAACACGTCCGGCTTCTGCACCAAGCTTCTCAAGAGGTCGGTTCGCCTCATTGACTCCGAGGTCTCAAGAACCTGCTGCGCGGCTTGCGCAGCAGCAGTTGCTGCCTGTGCAGCGGTTGCAGCCGTTTGCTGCGCCATGATGACCACAAGAAGAGCGGGCCAGTAAGCCTGGCTCCTCCAAGACCACCAACAAACTTGTAGAAGACCTCGTACACGACGCCCAGCGCCGCTGTGGCCGCCCAGCAGCCTGAAGACTTGATGCCACTGCCGCCCCAGGCAGCTAGTCAGTGCGCCGCGCCGCAGCCAGCACACACAAGGAGGAAATCTATGCTGCACAAGGCAGGCAGGAAAGGCACGCGGGGCCCTAGGCTGATCTACCCTACCTAGACCACCTTACACCAACCGATAAACAACCCTTGCCGGCTTGGGTCCTGGCCGGAGTAGTTCGGATGCCGCCGTCCCGAGATTCTAGAAATCAGGACCGTAGCGGCTCCGCTACCATGTAAAACCCCAAAAGGAAATCCCACTTTCTCACTCAGCCAGGGCTGCACGGCTCACGAAGTGAGTGAAGCATCTTGCTTCCATGTTGGTTGAAATGGAACATGTTTCATGGTCCATGCAAAATAAACGTGTGCTAAAGCAAAATCATGCCATGCACAAAGAAGTCATAAAATGGGGTCTGCATGGTTTAACACGCCCCCTCAGCAATGCATGCTTTGCATCGTTGCTGATATCATGATTGTTGCGACATGTCACATGTGCAAAACCTCAGAAAGCGACTCAAACTCAAACTGAGTGTAGCTAAAGTTGACTAAAGCTGTACAAGTGCAAGACTTCTTCAAAGCACCTCGTTGTTTGAACTCACAGGACGGCTCATCAGCCCACCGCGCCACCGCCAACAGCAGCCGCGCCGTAGGTTAAAGCCACTCGAAGCCACCGAAGGTGTTCAAAGCCCATTGCCAAACATAGCAATGTGGATTCCACCCATGCATTGCTGGCATGGCTTCTTGCGACGATTGATGGCTTCACGCATTGTCATCTGCCTGCTGGACCTTGCCGACCCACGGAAGCATCGGCAAGTATGCAAGTGAAAGGCGTAGCCCGAGCCGGTGATCCACACGTTCTGATTCAGCTCAGCTTGGGTCAGATCTCGCCTTCCATCATGACGTGGACGATCCGGAGGCTGAACTGGGTATTGCCGCTGAGGACCACCTTGAACTCCACGATCATTGCCCGCAGGAACGTTAGTGGCTTGTGTAGCCGCATCCTGGTTGTTGTTGTTGGCAGGTCTTTGCGCCTGCCCCTGAGCTGGTTGGGGATGAGGTACTCCAGGTTCTGCAGCAAGAAGTTGAGGACGAGGAGGAACAATGTTCTCACGCATCCATGTATGAAGCCGGGCTTCCACAGCTGCCCACTCTTCACCATTCGGGGCCAAACTTGTAATTGGGCTCGTGGTTGAGGTACGATTCGCGAAGGCCGTAGGTGAAGCAGGCAATGTATTTGTGGATGTCGTCGTCGCCGCTGCAAATGGTGCTGTCGATGAAGACGCCGTAGCTGCCGAAGTTGCCAAAGTCGGTGATGTAGAAGATGCCGAGGATGTAGATGCCAAATTGCGACCATGCGCTGCCTCCTCCGCCACATCACCTGGGCTCGCATTGCGCAGGAACTCATCGAAGGCCTCGTCGTCCATGGCGTCGTTGACCAAGTCGATGTTACCTGTCGGAGTCAAAGTAGCCGCATCCTCATCCAAGGTCGCCCCCTCAGATGAGGGCTCACCATCACCGCAGCCAGGCTCAAGCCCTGAACGGCCACTTTGCCAGGTGAATGTGATTCGCCACGAAGTACCAAGGACCAAGTAGCCGATGAGCACAAGGATCCAAAGTCCACCGAAGATGACGAGGTAGCCGCCGCCAACATTGTCCAGCACATAGCCAAAGACGCTCACATAGTGGATGAAGCTGTCGATGAAGTAGTCCAACAAAGCACCGACAACCGCCATGAAGTTGACAAGCATGTCGTAGTTCAGGCCACCACGATCATCACCTCCAGGAGCACATCCTTGAAGTTGCGTAGCCAACACTGCTTGAACGAGCCGCAGCGCCAGCTTGGCTTGGTCTCTCGTGAGTTGCCCATCACCTTGAACTTCGGCCCCAATGAGGCTTCCGCCTCCATTGACCATGCCCATGGTGCCACACAGCATCCGAAGCCGACTGGCCGTAAGAACCTTTGTGCCAACATCAGCAGGGTTCTTCTCAGTGGGGATGGCCAAGACCTTCAGCTCACGCCTTGCGCACCATTGTTGAATCCACAAGCACGAAGTCTGCAAATGCCGAACTCTCCCGACACCTGCTCTCTGAGCAATAGCTCTCGCCACAGACGAATCGGTACGGGCGATCATATCAACCTCAAGCTCCGTCAGGAAATTCCAAGCCTTCTTGATGAGGATCGCCTCGGAGACCACCTGAGTGAGAGCCACTAACTCGGCTTCTCCACTTGACAGGGTGACAACCTTCTGGTT